TACACCTTTTCCATGGTATGAGTGTTGAGGTGCGCCTTACAGGCGTGGTCAGTGAGGAACGTGCGCTCACAACCGGGCCATTCGCACCGCAACCGCAGCGTCTGGTCGTGTTTGCGGACGTGATCTCTGAGTGACTGTCGGCGCCCAAAGCCCACACCACACGTCTCGCACCGGAATTTCTGCATATGGACGAGTCGGTGCGCTTCCAACGCCGACCGCAGTTTGGCCTGATATGGACAGTCGGCGCACTGAATCCACGGCACCTCTGGCGCCGACTCCGGGTGTCGAGTGAGCCGATGATCGTTCATGTGTTTGGCAGTGCGAAACGGGCGCCGACACGTGTCTATCGGGCACAGCACTGATCGCACGGCTGTGTGTATCGATTGGTGTTTGCGAAACGAGTTGCCGGAGCCCGTAGTGTATGTGCAGCTCTCGTAATCGCACTTATAGTCAGTGCCGTGACGGTTGCGCCGGTGGGCACGCATCGCTTTGTTGGTGTTGAATGTGGCCGCACAGCCCACCCAATCGCACGGGTGCTTCACCGCCGAGTGGTTCACCCGATGGTTGTACAGCGATTTCAGCGATGAGTATAGTCGGCCGCAACCCTCGTAGTCGCACGTGTAGTGGCCGTCGGCTGTTATCTGGTATTTAGTGCCACATTTGCGGCCCTTTTTGTTGCTTTTCCTGCGGATAACTCTTTCGTCTTCTTTGATATCGTAATCGAAGTCCGAATTATCACTCATTTGGTCATCCATTTCGCTACACATATAGTCAGAGTCGTCCTCATCGACGGCGGCCGTTGTCTTCTTCTTGTCGGACTCGTGAGTGTTATTCATGTCATCGTTATTGTCGTCTATTGTCTTGACTTCAGTTAAGCTCCAGAAGTGATCATCTGATGATAAATTGATCATAATTTTTGCCATTAAATTGTTTTTTTTTTTCAAAAACACATTTCACTCACCGTTTGATCTCTTGTTTGAAAAACCATTGATTGCAATGTCTTGCAATGCATTGTCTTCTCTTGTCGTCAACTGATCCTCAAATTGAATACTCGTTTGACAACCAATTGATCGCAAAACTAGTGATTAATTGATTTCAAAATTACTGTTAATTCAAAACACATTTCACTCACCGTTTGATCTCTTGTTTGGCAAACCATTGATTGCAATAAAACTCTGGTTTTCGTTGAAATCAATCAATGAATTGATGTCTTGTTTCAGATCTCCGTTTAAATCACATTTAATTTCGTTATAAATTATTATATTTTGTAAATAATGTATAAATTGTTGACATTTTTTGGCCAATAATTGAAATCTCGATAAATCTGTTGACAAACAATTGATTTCTCGTTTCAATTCATTTACACATAAATACAACTCATTTCGCGTTAATTGCGATAAATTGTCAAAACTCTCACTCATTTTGTAATCTCTAAACATGTGTTTAAAACACAATTAAATAGCATTTAAATCACAATTCATTCACAAAAACACAAACAAAACACACATTTGAGAGCAAAAGCAAACGTAAACACAAATCACGTGACATTCAGTAATAAACCACTGTTTTTGAGGGACTGTCAGTACTTTCCTATTCAGTCGTTATCCTTGGGCTTCGGCTATGAGAGCACCGGTAGTCCACAAATTAAACACATTTATAGTTTTATTATATATTGTATTTAATTTTAACAATTCATATACAAAAATAATTACTATAACGGGAAATAAATTAATTGAGAAAAATAATCATAATTCATTTGATGGGCTGAGAGACAAAAGTTTGGTGCACTTTAGCCATATGTCTGTGGAGAGCCTCTTTATAAGTGCACCCGAAGTCACATCCGGGCCAATGGCACTTGTAGTCAATCTTACCCTGATGTTGGCGCCGCTCATGACTGCCCAACGTATTAATGTTAAGGAAAGTACTGTCACATCCGGGCCAATGACAGCGATACACCTTTTCCATGGTATGAGTGTTGAGGTGCGCCTTACAGGCGTGGTCAGTGAGGAACGTGCGCTCACAACCGGGCCATTCGCACCGCAACCGCAGCGTCTGGTCGTGTTTGCGGACGTGATCTCTGAGTGACTGTCGGCGCCCAAAGCCCACACCACACGTCTCGCACCGGAAAGTCTGCATATGGACGCGTCGGTGCGCTTCCAACCCCGACCGCAGTTTGGCCCGAAACGGACAGTCGTCGCACTGAATCCACGCCACCTCTGGCGCCGACTCCGGGTGTCGAGTGAGCCGATGATCGTTCATGTGTTTAGCGGTGCGAAACGGGCGCCGACACGTGGCTATCGGGCACAGCACCGATCGCGTCGCTGTGTGTATCGATTGGTGTTTGCGAAACGAGTTGCCGGAGCCCGTAGTGTATGTGCAGCTCTCGTAATCGCACTTATAGTCAGTGCCGTGACGGTTGCGCCGGTGGGCGCGCATCGCTTTGTTGGTGTTGAATGTGGCCGTACAGCCCACCCAATCGCACGGGTGCTTCACCGACGAGTGGTTCACCCGATGGTTGTACAGCGAGGACAGCGATGAGTATACTCGGCCGCAACCCTCGTACTCGCACTCGTAGAGGCCGTCGGCTCTTAACTGATGTTTAGTACCACTTTTGCGGCCCTTTTTGTTGCTTTTCTTGCGGACACAAAGAAGTCTTTCCTTTCTCTCGTCTTCTTTGATATCGTAATCGGAGTCCGAATTATAACTCATTTGGTCATCGATTTCGCTGCAGATATAGTCCGAGTCGTCCTCATCGACGGCGGCCTTTGTCTTCTTCTCGGACTCGTGAGTGTCATTCATGTCATCGTTATTGTCGTCTATTGTCTTGACTTCAGTTAAGCTCCAGAAGTGATCATCTGATGATAAATTGATCATAATTTTTGCCATTAAATTGTTTTTTTTCAAAAACACATTTCACTCACCGTTTGATCTCTTGTTTGGCAAACCATTTAAAGTGATGTTATTTTGTGTCTCATGTTTTCCATTGGCTTCTCCTGTCGTCAACTGATCCTCAAATTGAATACTCGTTTGACAACCAATTGATCGCAAAACTAGTGATTAATTGATTTAAAAATTAATTCAAAACACATTTCACTCACCGTTTGATCTCTTGTTTGGCAAACCATTGATTGCAATAAAACTCTGGTTTTCGTTGAAATCAATCAAAGAATTGATGTCTTGTTTCAGATCTCCGTTTAAATCACATTTAATTTTGTTATGAATTATAATATTCTGTAAATAATGTATAAATTGTTGACATTTTTTGGCCAATAATTGAAATCTCGATAAATCTGTTGACAAACAATTGATTTCTCGTTTCAATTCATTTACACATAAATACAACTCATTTCGCGTTAATTGCGATAAATCCTCAAAAACTTCACTCATTTTGTTGTCTCTAAACATGTGTTTAAAACCCAATTAAATAGCATTTAACTCACAATTCATTCATAAAACGCGTTTCATTGGGAAAAACATAAACAAAAAACACATGACTTTGTGTTATAGTTGTGCACACATTCATTCATAAATATAGTGATGATAGTATCGGCCCCCGGGGTTCAGGTACTCATCGGTAATATCCTAAATATATACTGTATTTAACCGACAAAATATATGCCCCTCTCTGTCCCCCAAACGGTGTTTTAATTTTGTTCATAATTTGTTTTAAACTTGTTGTTTAAAACATTTAATTGACCGCCAGTTAAATGTCTAATTAACACATTAAGCTTTTATATAGATACCCGAGTCGGGTAACCCGACCCCACACTTGCCTATTGTGAGACAACTATAGATACCGTATGTTATATAGATTGGTGACGGTGTGGGACTACCTCCCTGTGTATAGAGCACCTCCATTGCCACTAATCATCACTCGCGCCACACAATTATCAATACATTAAATTACATTTGTTTTAAAATACATTAAATTACATTGTATTTGTCAATACTTTGAACGCTTGTAATTGCGATAAATGATAACATTGTGTTTAATACTCATATTTTCTACTTGTAGTAAAGCTAAGAGTTTGCGCTGTGGCCTACCATCGGGTCACTGCCGCGAGCGGTCACCAGGTGTAGTGATAGTGTGGTTGGACCTGATATTGAAGGTTTTCAATCCAGTATGTGGTTTCATTGTGATCAGCGATACAGTCGACTAGCAGTTGGCGTATTCGGTCGTATTCGTCACCGATGGCCTGTAACTCCTCCATCTGAATGCCTGCTGCCGGCCAATTGCCATTGAGATAGGCCACGGCCGCCGGGTTCCCAGTATTGTCCTGCAGCGTGTGGTGGGCCTGTATGAGCGCATCCCTGTCCCACTCCATACGAGTCAGTCGGTTGGCCCCATCAGCCAATACATAGGGCACGTTTTGTGGCGGTATAGTAAGCGCACCGTTGCTGACAGTGTATCGGTACTCATTCAACGCGGTCGTGTGTTGGCCCACAGCCCCGTTTGCCTGACCCAACGCGTTCTCAAAGTCCTGTATCCAAATGTTCATATCGTTCTCCCAGGCCTGATTAGCCTCCGCCGCAGCCGCAGCCGCCGCCTCAGCCGCTCCTGGTATTGGTTCCATACTCTCGAGGGTTTTCCTACCGGTGCTCTGCTTTTGGTGACAAGTCTTCGTTTAATTGCCCCTTAATTGACCCGACGGTTCACCAGTTTTTAATGTTTTTTTTTTAATTTTATGATCAATTTTAATATTAACAATAAAATCAAAGTTTTACGCATTTTATGCCTGGGATTGTGTTTTTTAATAGTATTTTTATTATATTTTACGACTAATTGTTGATAAAATATTTGTCTTATTTTCTAACCAAGAATTATTTAATCAATTAATTATCTATCAGTTTTTGGTCATTGATATTGGTAGACACTAACAGTGCTGTTGTACAATATATTCTTGATCATGTATCTTTTGATATCTTTAACACTTAATGTTCGTATGTTTTGCTCCGCCGATTGATTAATGATTTGCTTTTTAGACATGAATTTAGAAATTTTGCTATTTTGGCTTTTATTCAATTATATTTTTACTATTTGCATTCATTGATTACATTAATTTATTTAATGATTAGTTTTTTTGAAATGATTACAAGTGGTTTCAATCGGCAATACATTTATTTAATAGCAATTGATTTTGTCTTATATTTCAACACAATTTGTTTCAAACAAAAAATCTTCAAATTTATTGAATAACAGATTCAGAGATCCGGAAGATATACACAAACACTGTTTGGCTGACGAGAGGGGAGAGTGCGCTCACAATTGGCCCCGACGTTGATTCCTGCGGTGTCGGGCCATAGTTCTGGCCCTTCGGGTGCGTCTTCGGCGCCCTCTCCGGAGCGGTCGGGTCCTAAGCGGCGGCTCTGCGTCTCTTCCGGCTCTAGATCTGGAGCGCCGGCGTCTTCTGGAGCGCCGCCCGGACCGGGAACGGGAGCGGCCGCCGCCTCCTCTGGCCAGCGCTCGCCGCTGTTCTCGCCGTCGGGCCCTCTGCTCTCGGATACGGGCCTCTCGTTGTCGTGCGGCCGCCATTTCGTTGGGCTGTCGCGGCAGTCGACACAATTGCAACCCTCGCCGGTAGTAACCCAACGCCCGGTAATCGATGCCATCGTTCCATTGCGCGCCGCTTCTGGCAATCAATCCGCGCCGCGTTTGCAGCGGTCCAGTCGGCTGTGCCGGCGGGCGCGCAGCCGGTTGTCCACTTGATTGGCCACTCGATTGCCCACTCGATTGTCCACTCGACTGACCGCTAGACTGACCGCTAGACTGACCGCTATTATTGCTGCTTTGGTTGGGAGCGGCCATTGATTTTGACAGAGTCTTAAACTGTCTTATTGTGTGACTTTGGACCGGAGTTTTGCCAATAAAATTGTAACGACTTTTTTGTCGCTATTATTTTTCGTTAAACTTTTATAATTTTTATTTTACATTTAAATTTAAATCTAATTGTTATAACCATATGTTATGCGAGATTTATAAATGTTGTATATCGTTAAGCTATGGTATTGTTGTAATGCTATTTGTATTTCAATTGATAGTACAGTAGACTATTATCTGCAAATTGCAATCAAATTAAATGTAGAAATTAAACTTATTTGTTAAAAAAATTAATTTTATATCAAAATTAATTATACAGTATACATTTTTATACACGCTTATTTTTCTATTTAAATTAATTGTATAATTGTCAGAATAAACCAGAATATAGCAAATATTATTAAAACTTTTATGTAATAAATATAATGGGCAATAAATTCACGTGTATAGAATCCAATGATACAAATGTGAAAAAATAATGCTTTTTATACAACTTGGTAAAGTGAATTAGATTTTATAACTTATTATTTATTGAATTGTTTACATTCTTTACCAAGATTAAACATTAAATGATGCAAAATTTGCAATTGTAATTAACGTTTTTGATTTTTATGGCTTTAGTTAACAAAAACTTATCAAAATCAAAGTTTATTTCAATTTAGTTTGATTTAATTTTACTTCAATTATTATGTACTCAAAATAATTTCAATAATACCAATAAACTGCACACTACTGTAAATCTTGATCACGTATTATTGAATGTCATTGGAAAATAATTTGGTTTTTTGTTACAAATTTATGTCAAATCACAGAATAAATGACGAATTTTGACATTTTGCTACTTTTACTATTAAAATATTTTTAAAACTTGTTGGAAATTTTTACTAATTATAAAGTATTTTAGTCTCTCTCTCTCTCTCTCTCTCTCTCTCTCTCT